TTATTTATTATGTAGTTTAGGCCAGGCTTGAGCTCACTACGTAGCCCAGGTTGGCTCTAAACTCACAGCAGTCGTCTTGCCTCAGCCTCCTCTGAGTGCTGGGATCACAGGCGTGAGTCTCCACATCTGGCCCATTGCTTGAATTTATAAAAGGACCTCAGTGAAGCCTGGTGTGATGCCACACAACCATAGTCCTGTCACTGCTAGTTGGGGCTCCACTGTGAGACTCTGGGGGGTGGGGAGTAGAGGACCGAAACAGGAAAGAAACCAAAGCAAACCTCAGTCCTGGGCTCTGAAGATATCAAGACACCGGGCACCCTCAGAACCCTCTCTTGAGATGGGATAACAAAGAGCTGATGTGTTCTGTTCCTCTCCTCTGCCGGTAGGAAAATGCTGGCCTTTGGTGTGTGCACATCTACTGTCCAGCTTCCTGGAAAGGTCGCTATAGTCACTGGAGCGAACACAGGCATCGGGAAGGAGACGGCCAAAGAGCTGGCCCGGAGAGGTGAGTTCAGCTGCTCTCAGTCCTTCCCTCTCGGATGGTTCGGCGATGGCTGCTCTCATTATTTCTGCCCTAACTCATTGCTTTGTTGGTCTGAACTGAGTACATATAATGGGCACTTAAGTCTTATTGATTGGTTTTTCTTTCCTGATTTGCTTCAGGTGATTCTGTTATAGTCTGTGTAAAAATTCCTGGTTTTTTTTTTGTTGTTGTTGTTTAAAAAGGAAAACAGGTTGTAGGCTCAGTGGTAGAGCACTTGCCCAACATTCACAAGGTGCCGAGTTCCCTTTTCTGTCATTGCTGAGACCGAATACCCAACACCCAGAACTAAAGAAGGAAAGGTTTAATATTTAGCTCACAGTTTGTGGGGGTTTCAGGGCATAGTCAGCTTTCGCGGGGTGTGGCAGAGAGGCGGCAGTTCACACAGCAGCCCTCCCACCTTGTGAGCAGGTGGAGCCTCACAGCACCTCCCTGCCCTGCTCCTGCCCAGGCTCAGGATATTTACAAAGTGAGGACTCTGGCCCCTGCTGAGTCACTTAATTAAAGTTCTTGAGTTCTTGACTTCTCAACTTAGTACATTGTAGCAACTGTTACAAATGATTCTGTTGTAAAGTCTATGTAAAAGTTCCTGGGTGTTTTTGTTTTTGTTTTTCTTTTTAAAAACAAAACAGGGCTGGGAGAGCTTAGTAGTTTAAGCACAAGGACCAGGTTCCATCCCTGTGCATGCTGTGCCAGCCCCAGACCCCCAGGAGTGCTGTGCCAGCCACTGAAACTGGGCGTGGAGGTGCATCCCTGTAATCCCAGTGCTGGAAAGGCTGAGACAGGAGGCTCACTCTGAACTGTGTAGTGAGACCCTGTACCAAATAAATAAATAAAAGACTTTAAAAAAAAAAAAAGTTCTAGGCTCAGTGGTAGGCACTTGCCTAATATACATTTTAAGGCCCTGAGTTCAATCTCTGGCACCAGAACAAAAACAAAAACAAAAACAAAAAAGAGAAAACAAAAAGAAAAAAAAACAAGAGAAAATGTTTGACATCAGTTGTAGGTCTATAGTGCCCACCTAAAAATGGAGCTGGCAGGCGGGGGAGATAGTTCAGTGGTCTAAACACCTGCTACCAAGTGCAGGGACCCAGGTTCCATCCTAGGTACCACATGCTGTGCCAGCCCCAGGCATGCTGTTCTGACCATGGAAACCAGGGATGGTGGCATGTGCCTGTAATCCCAGCACTAGGGAGGCTGAGACAGGAGGCTCACTAGGAGTCTGAGCTGCTAGTGAGGCCCTGTACCAAATAAATAAATACATAAATTTTTTTTTTTTTTTTTTTTTTTAATGGAGCTGAGTGACATGTGTATGTAATCTAAGCATTCTGGGAGGCTGAGGCACGATAATTGTGAGTTTGAATCCACCTTAGGCTACTTAGGAACTTTGAGACCCTATCTCAGAAATAAAAGACTAACACTGACCTTATCAGACGCAAAAGCTACAACTCTTGTTGCATAGGTCTTGCTTTACCTTGGTCTTAACCATCCAGCAGAAAAGTATAAAAAAGAAGTATAAGAAGTAAAGCCATAGTGTTATGCTGAGCTGTAGGGGACTCAGGTCAACAATTTCTGACATTGCCAGTGAAGCAGAAGACCCAATACTATTATGGGCTACTGGACTCTTTTCGAATATTTTGCTGAGTTTACACACCTATACTATTCAAATAACGGAACTAAATAAAAAAAGAGGATACAGATGAATGTCCATTTTGTATCTGTGTATTCAAAATGGTTAGGATAGAAATACAGTTACATTCTCTTAATGAATAGAGGGACTTTAAGGGGGCCTGCCCCTTAGCTCAGTTCTTTAAGTGGCTGCTTTAACAAAGTTGCTGTGGTTTGATCCCCACAATTCAAGCCAGCCAAACCTGCCCTGAAGGCATTTGGAGAAAAAAAAAAGAAAAAAAGAGGGATTTGTTCTAATAGTGTTTGTAAATAGAATATCATGTCCGCATCTTGTACAGCAGTTACACTAGGAAGAATGTATGCAATGTGTTAATTATTGAAACTGTCCTACCAATTTGGTTTGAAACTGTCTCATTGCTATTTGTTTCTCAATAAAATTATGAAAAAAATAAAAAAGAAAGAAAAGACTGGGGATGTAGCTCAGTACAAAGGCCCTGGGTTCAATCCCCAGTACCCCAAAAAGAAAAAAGCACTGACGGTTTCTCTTCCCTGTGTTGGATGACAGGGGCCCGCGTGTATTTAGCTTGCCGGGATGTGCAAAAAGGAGAAGCAGTGGCCAGAGAGATCCAAGCTGTGACAGGGAACCAGCAGGTGTTGGTGCGGAAGCTGGACCTGGCTGACACTAAGTGTATTCGAGCCTTTGCTAAGGACTTCTTAGAAGGTAAGTAGAGAATGAGAGACTATATCATGGGTTTATGGACAAGTTGGCAGAGTTGGATGACAAGAAATGATGGGCCAGGGATATAGCCCAGCTGCGCGGTGCTTGCCTGGCACTGCAAAACCGTGAATTTGGTGCTTGGTACCAAAAGAAAAAAGAAACTGATCTCTCTCCAGCACACAGAAATAGGTAAAATATAGCAAGAAACTTTCACTATAGAGCTGAAGTTGCTTTGATTGTTGGGATGTGACTAATGCCAAGGGGACATCCTCAGGAGGCAGAAATGCAAAGGGAACCCTAAAGCACAGCAGTGAGCAAGAGCTGAAGCTGGAAGTCCCATGGGGGCATCAGAGCTCAGGGTGGGCCTTTTGGGCTCTAGGGCAGTGATGGCGAACCTATGGCATGTGTGCCACAGTCGGCTGTTTATTCCTGACAGCTCTAAAAGGTTCACCGTCACTGGTCTGCAATCCAGACCCCCATGCAGCAATGAGGGCTGAGACCGCAGGCCCTTGCGAGCTGGCACTGTGTAAGTGAAGCTGAGTGAGGTTCCCTGAGGGCCGTCGTGTAGGAGCCAAGAAAACAAAGTAAAACAGCTCAGGGGTGTGACAAAGGAGCTGACCACCTCTTGGGTTGTGGACAAACTGAGTAATGTGGCATAAATTAGAAACCCAGGCTGGTATCTGTGGGGTCTGAAGACATACTACCAAATGATACAGGGACTTCCTATTATTTTATGTATTTATTTTTGGCAGTAGGAATCCTGAGCAGAGGCATTAACATAAAAACTCTTACAATATTTTATCAGACATATCTCCTCATCATGCCATATCTTAGCCTGTCAGGGAAGCAACTTCCGCTGCTATGAATCTGCTACCATAAAGTACAACCCATGTAAGGAAATGAACTGTTAGACTTGGCAGCTTTCTTCTGGGAAGAGGTTCATGTAGAACCTCCGAATCTTTCTTTCCTCTTGCTTTGGAATCTTACCATTCAGTTTCAGAAATCTATTAGGAGAGGGCCGGCTAGATAGCTCAGCGGACTAAAGTGCCTGCTTGGGTAGAAGGCAGTAGCCAGAGGCAGATCCCCAGCATGCCTTTCTGGTCCCACCCTTGGGGTGGACTGTGATTGAGACCAGGCGTGGTGGCACATGCCTGTAATCCCAGCGCTTGGGAGGCTGAAAACAAGAATCACTATGAGTCCAATCTATGTAGTGAGACCCTGTAGCCCTTGTAGTAAATACATTAAAATAAGCGCTTGCCTGGCAAGTGCAAGCGCCTGAGTTCAATCTCTGGTTCTGCAAAAAAAAAAAAAAAAAAAAAAAAAAAGGATTAAAAAAAAATCTATTAGGAGAGATGGATAGAATAATTCCCCAAAGCAATAAGTAGCTCCTGAACTGCAAATATTGGGAAAGGCATTCAGTGATATAACTGGAATTTTTCCTGTTGTAAAAGTATGTAGGGGGGCTGGGAAGATGGCTCAGTGGAATAAGCGCTTCCCTGGCAAGCGCAAGGGCCTGAGTTCAATCCCCGGTTCTGCCAATAAAAAAAAAGTATTTAGGGTTTTAAAAAAGAAAAAAAGGATGTAGGATTCAACAAAGTCTTACTGTAAAAAACAGTACCAGCTGGACATGGTGGCCCCACACCTGTAATCCCAGCACTTGGAGGCTGAGGCAGGAAGATCCCCTGGCCAGTTTGAGCTACATAGTGAGTTCAAGGCCAGCCTAAACTATATAATGAGACCTTGTCTCAAAACAAAACAAAACAAAAAAACAAGTAACTACAAAGAGGAATCAGTAGAAAGATTAAAGTTCTATATCCCCAATGAGTTGTAAAGCAGATTTCTAAGATGTAACAGCTGTGGCTGACCAGTGCATGCACCCACTCCATCTTCTCTTCCCTGCAGAGGAAAAGCACCTCCACATTTTGATCAACAACGCAGGAGTGATGATGTGTCCCTATTCCAAGACGGCAGATGGGTTTGAGATGCACATAGGAGTTAACCACTTGGGTAAGAAGTCTGGCGCGTCAGAGCTAGAGGGAACCTGTCATTCTTCTTGGAAAATGAAAAGGCCAGGTTGAACCTTCTTTGTATTGTGATTGGAATGGAGAGTCCCAGCAGACTATGTGTGAGCTATGAGTAGTTCAGACCTACCTGGCCATGGGGCCTGCTCCAGACTCCCTCCACTATTTAATCTATGATGTAAATGTAGTTTACCTTGGAGCCATTTTTGGTCTTTGTTTTCAGCCTTTTGAGACAAGGTCTCACTGTGTAGCCTAAGCTGGTCTTAAGTTCCAGGCAATCCTCCTGTCCAAGCCTTCTGAGTGCTGGGATTACAGGCATGTGCCACCCTCACCCACCTAGGCCACCTGCTATTAAAGAGTAACGTTAACTCTTGTTGGAGGAAGATTGCACTTGCTGTTCACGTGGTCCGGGCCTGTTGATAACTTCCTCTAAGGTATCTCATGTCTTTGGCTGTTTATATTTCCCCGGTTCTCTCTGCTCTTGACCTCTGTGATAACGAAGGTTGAAGCAGAAGACCTGATTCCTGCGCTCTCTGCCTCCCCAGCATGCCCTGCTCACCACTGCTCTCCTTGGTCTACATTGGCCTGAACTTTGTCAATCTTCCTTTCTCTCCACAGGTCACTTCCTCCTGACCCATCTGCTGCTAGAAAAGCTGAAGGAATCTGCTCCATCGAGGATAATAAATGTGTCCTCCTCAGGACACCTCCTGGGCAGGATTCAATTCCATAACCTGCAGGGCGAGAAGTTCTATCATTCGGGGCTGGCCTACTGCCACAGCAAGTTGGCCAACGTGCTCTTCACCCGGGAACTGGCCAGGAGGCTACAAGGTGGGGAGCAGGGACATGAGGCAGTGAGCGGTGGCCGAGAGTCCCAAGGATGGAAACTTTTCTGGAGCCCACACTGGGTAGTGGAGATCGCTGGCTGGGCCAGGGAAGTTCTCACGAGAGGCTGCACTAATTGCCTAGCTGCGTGAGCTGCAGCAGGTTACTTAACTTTTCCAACTTACTTCCCCAGGTGTAAAGGGAAATTGCTGTATAGGCTGTTGTTCAGGTCCTGTGGGCAAGTCAAGACGTTCTTACTCATAGTGAATCTGAAAAGGGAGGGACCTGAGCTGGCGCTAGATAGAGCCATAAAGGTCACACCTGTGCTGGTGGTGATGGTGGTGGCAGCGGTGTGTGTGTGTGTGTGTGTGTGTGTGTGTGTGCGCACATGCGTGCGCGTGCTGTGTTCCCTAATAGCAAAGGATCAAATAAGAGGGAATGTCGCTGGGCATGGTGCTGCATATCTGCAGTCCCAGCATGTGGGAGGCTGAGGCAGAAGGACGAGACCAGCTTCAGCTACAAAGTGAACTCAAGGCCAGCCTGAGCTGCATAGCAAGATCCTGTTTCAAACAGACAAAAAATAAAATACAATAAAATAATAGAAAAAGGAAATATGTGCTTCAGAAGGAATTCTGTAGGCACACGGATCTCCGGTAAAGCACAAAGACCTTTGTGTATGTGGCACGCATGCACTCACAGGAGTAGGTAAAAGACCTTATTCAGTCTAAGGTAGGGAGTTGCAAGCTGAGCTCTGAAGGGTGACTGGAAATTAAATGGGCACATGGGCTGAGGAGCAGAGTGTATGATGGCATGGGCTTGGTTTGAGAAGCAGAAGGGTATAATATTAGAAGAGGGCTGAGTTTAGGCAGAAGGATAGGTAGAGGCCACAGGAAGGGTTTTTATTTTAATTCCAAAAACCTCTGAAATTGAAACCTTTCAGAAATGGGCAGTAGATCCATAGGCGATTTTAGTGACCAAGATGGGAACTGAAAGTAGTTTGGAGGAGAGTGGTGCAGATGGAGGGTTGTGGCACTCATGAGGTGGGTAGGGTGTGGAGCTGCGGAGCTTGGTGGAGGATGTGTATGGTGAGGTAGGGGATTCTCAACAGCTGCTCCTGTGGACCTGGTTGGGCATGCAGGGGGATACTGCAAGAACCAGGTTGGAGCTGGGCATGGTGGCATATGCCTGTAATCCTGGCCCCCAGGGGCTGAGGCAGGAGGATCACCACAAGTTCTTAGGCCAGCCTAGGCTATAGTGAGACTCTCTTGAAAAACAGCCACATAAAAAAATATATTAAAAGGGGCAGCCAGATAGCTCAGCGGACTAAAGCGCCTACTTAGGCAAAGCACAGCAGCTGGGGTTCAATCCCCAACATGCTATGCTGGCCCCACCCCAGGGGTGCACTGAGACAGGGATTGAGACTGGGTGTGGTGGCACACACCTGTAATCCCAGTGCTTGGGAGGCTAAAAACAGGAGAATCACTAGGAGTCTGATCTAGATAGTGAGATCCTGTAGACCCTGTACTTAATAAATAAATAACAGCAACAAAAAAAGACTTTAGAAGGAGAGGGTCCGTGATGTACAGTGCTTCTGAGGGGCTGAGTGTGACCTCCCTGGGTCACCTTAATCTATGAGGTAGACAAGTACATTATGCTGAGTAGAGCTTGGGATGTCACTGTAGGGGTGTGTGTGCGGAAGTGGGCACCATGAGTTCATGCCCATTCTTGGCTCTCTGGCTGTTCTGTAAAGTCAAGTCCCCTCTTTTTCTGTGTGTCCCCACCCCAGGCTCTGGTGTCACGGCCTACTCTGTACACCCTGGCACAGTGCACTCCCAGTTGACCCGGCACTCAGCTTTGATGAAGTGCATGTGGTGGCTGTTCTCCTACTTCATCAAGACTCCGCAGCAGGGAGCACAGACCAGCCTGCACTGTGCCTTAGCGGAAGGGCTCGAGGCTCTGAATGGAAATCATTTCAGGTATGGCTGTGTCTGTTGTTGAAATGACTTGAATGGTGTGGTATGCTATGCCTTTTTAAAAAGTACATTGTCGGGCCTGGGGAGATAGCTCAGTAGAAGAAGCCATAAACGCTTGCCTGGCAAGTGCAGGGTCCTGAGTTCAATCCCTGGTACTGAAAAAAAAAAAACAAAAAAAACAAAACAAAGTACATTGTCTACTATTGCATCTAGTTTTGTCTGTTATGTTTTTGTTTTACTTGTTTGGTTTTTTGTAGTAGTAGGAATTAAACCCAGGGACTCAAGCATGCTAGGCAAGTGCAATACACTAAGCTACAGCCCCAGCACTTGTGTTTTTTGTATTTTTGAGACAGTGTCTTGCTCTGATTTGCAATCCTCCTGTCTCAGAAGGGTACCGGTGAGTGCCTGAATAGGCATGGGTCACTGTGCCTGGTAGCATTTGTCTTTGAGTTTTTTTTGTTTGTTTGGTTGGT